AGCCAATTCGAGACAATTGTATCGAACATTAAAAAGTGAATGTTGCTCACCGAAAATTTCACGGAGATGTTCCACTGTTTGTGCAAAGTTTAGATTTTTTGGATGTTTGGGAAGGATAAAGTTCGTGAACCGATCGTGCTCGAGGGTTCCAAGTTTCCGCACCAAGAGACGGGATTTCCACGCATCATCTTTGCCGGTGAATTCATTCAAGAACGTATCCTCCCAACGGCTGTACCACGAATCGAAAGTGAGACCAGATGCTGGCTCATAGTGCAATTCAGTTATAGTTGCAGCAGTGGAATCCGCAAAGGATAGTGAACTACCACTTTGAGATGAAACTGAAGTTTAGAGATTGATGACTTGAGTGAGAGACTGGACAAGTTGCAATTGCGATTGTTCAAATTGCGCTTGTTTTTGTTGAAGGATTGATTTCAAATCCTCAGCTGAAATTGACATTCTTGGGTTCGTGAAGGGTTTCCGACGCCAGTGTTATGGTCTCTACTAATCAGTCGGTCAACCTTGTCAGTTACACACGAAATTAAGAAGACCAAAAGCCTTAAGGAAATTATACCGCAGCAACTGAACAGCCAATATCGAGATTCGAAGAATCAAGAATGGAATGGAACAAAACAGTCCAATGAAAGGCTGAAATAGGGAGAGAGAAGTCTGATCTATGCACGGTAACCTAATCCGATGGCTAACGACTACCTTCTATTCTCAGAATTATATGTATTGTCGCTTATATGTGCCAGTATCCGTGCGGGTTTACGCCGATGAGACCTCAATTATGCGTTCCAGCCTAATCCACCGGTCAAACATGGTGTCATACTCATAAATGTACTCGATGTTACCTAATTTGAATATCTATCGTAATTGCTAGACCACTGTCTATGTGCGACGCTGTTTACAAGGACTCGGCTACACCGGATAGCTTAATCTAACGGTCGAACACCTCTCCGTCATACTTACTACTTTACGCGTTATCGCCCAAGCCTGAAAATGCCGACAACACCGTTAGCAGATTGTTCTTATCTATTTATTGGGCCGGTACAAATGCAGTGGATAGTCGCTCCAGTTTTCCTATTAAGCAGACCAATTTCACCAGACAGGGATTCCGGAGGTGAAGTTGCATAATCGATTAGATATCGTGGATGCCCTCAGTAACAGCAATGAAACCTTGTATTTAATCAAGTTCGACATGCCAACTTATCAGATACTTCTTAATTCACTTGTAAAAATGAAAAACCGATGTCCACTCAGTGAACGTGTGCAGATTTGGGCATTCTGTATTGGACGTGACCAAAACTGAAGCCGAAAAGAGGTATGTGCACAGCTTTTGTCTTTGTGACCTCACCTTGTATATACGATTTGTACCCATAACACCGGGTGTATCATCACAATAACGAATGTCAGTTGTCCAAGTGTGGCTTTCAATAGGGGTTATGAGGAAGTAAGACAAACTCCTCATCATTCCGGGACTCAAGAGGAAGTTACAGAAAACGTTTGCCTGCAATTAGGATTCAATTTTCCATTTTTTATCTCCTCTAAAGTTGGACGGAATATTTTTCCCTGGTTGGGCTACTATCAACCGATCGAAGTCGACAACGTAGCACGCCATCTCGGCTGACCGCTCGATGGACGGAAAGCTGCGTTTGTGCGACGGACCAGTGACTAAAGAAAATAGTTTAAATGCTACCTGCACACCCACCTGGTGGGTATGTCTAAAGAAATTCTCGTTATTACATCAAAAACTTTGATACGCCACCAACAATCGGCAAGGTCAGTTGACTGGCCATAGACACCTAACGGGACATCGTCTGTTAGCGTAAGAAGCAACTTAGGTTGCAACTTTTGCGTTCCATTGCCGCGAACGGACTGTCCAATGTGGTGGACGAATGTTGACGTGACATCAGCTGCATTTGCACAATCAGACGCTTCATGCATCTTGTAAGATTGCGTGGCTTCAGGAGCTTTAATTTACCGACAGTCCGTTGAAAACGCTTGTGCAAACCTTCCGCTAGTGATAGCTGTAGCCTGTGAAACACAGATAGAGGAATATCTCCCACTGGTAGGTTGTACTCTGTTAGCCACCGCTGGTGAATGGAAAATCAGCCTAGGCAGTGCATGTTTGATTAATTGACCCGCTGCAAGGGAACGAATGGCCCATAAAGACGGAAAGAAGTTGTACACAAGGTGGCCACACAGATTGATAAAGGGTGAATGTGAAGATACCAGCCGGGATGTTGAACATTTCGGGGCTTGTACCAAAAATCAGCTGGTACTAACAACAATGTCCTCACCCCGGAGCGATCTATCTGATAATGCATTGGATTTGGCGTTCATGTGCCAATGTGCTCAAAAACCTAATTGACGCAGAAAGAAGCTGCCGACCTCACAAAGTTATCGGTGGTCGCAGTGGACGGTGATGTACATCTCATACTCGTAGGCGAACCACTCGACTTGCCTGAAACCTTCTTGACAGCATGCTCCAGGCCATAAGCGTGATACATGCGCCTCTTCAAACGCCTGTTCGCGTTCTTCAGGCGATTACTGATCGAATTTCCGAAAGGTGGGAACTCAAGCTGCGCATGAATGGTCCACTTTCGGATGTTGTACAACCAGTGGACACTTGTATTAGGGTTGCAGCTGGAACAGATTCCACACAGGATCTTCACAGTGCGGTGAGATACACATGATTATTGTCAGATACAAAGTCACTTAGCCTCGATATCAAATCGGGTCATGATGTAGAATATGTGCGCCTGCGTTTAGAACTGTTTTGCAGAAGTTACTGCTAGATACTGAAATCACCTGCTTTTGGATGGCTTGTTGTGTATAAAAGTAGCAAAGCACCATGTCGCCGTTAAACACAGCTTTAGCAGCCCACATCTGCAACGCCGTCTCAAACGTGACGTCTCGGTGACGCATTGCCCACCCATCCTCTCCAAAATTAAGCTAATTGGATAGTGCAAAGGTACAAAAGGATTGATTTCAACAACTTAGTACACGACGTGGCTCACGATAAACAAGAACTAAAATTGAGAACCATTGCTGGCCATGAGTGATCTTGGTCGATTGAGCATATGACCGGAGTAACAGCAAGCGAGGATTGAGATGGAGATGGTGCGAACGTCGACACGGCAACTGGAGATACAGAAACCGATTGCTTCGCCAAGTGTAGATTTGGGTGACTGGATTGCCAGCATAAGTAGAAACTACCACTGTTAACCTGAGGCTCGTTTAAAGTTTGATTCGTGCTCCAAAAATTAGAACATTTCTGAGGTTAAAATCTGACGAAAAGGTGATGTCTCTATCAAGTGCAGCTTTTGCTAAGAAAACCGGTACATCGAAGACCCTATCTGGAAACCAAACTGCTAGTGAGAATGCGGGACCTCCGCTTTGACCGCACCGTGCTTCAGCTCCCAGCACTTAAGTCCAAAGTTCGTTGTTTCAAATTCAGCCACTGGCTTGTAGACCTGACAAAATCCAAAGATTGTGTCACCTATCTGAATAAATCCAAAGATGCATGAGAATGGTTGAATTCATCTAATCGAACGCCCTATTTTCACACTTGGTTTGTGGTTAGATTTAGAGAATGATTTAAGAAACAGCTTACTGGGCATTGTCACAATGGTAGAAGACAGAGCTTTGCGGATGTCACACAACGGTACCCGCATCCTTTGGACGTCGAACACGACATTACCACAGGTGGGTGCCAGTCATCCAATTTTGCTTTTGGCTACCACGAAGACCACTTTGAAGTCAAAGCCACGGTAGAAAATCCCGAACAAGCAAAGCACATATGCGCATGTACCCAGTGGGATGATAAGCAGTTTGTGCTGTTACATTTCAGTGTACCTACATATTTCGGTACGCAATCAACCCGAACACAAAGATAACAGGTCCTGGCTCGTGAAATCCGGTCAAGCATGCAGTCAAGATCATAGACCACGGGAATAAAACTTTCAGAATCCCTAATAAACGCAGTGCTTATCACTTGCAATAAAAGGTTGATTTACGAATAAGCCAGCATGAAATGATTCAGGATTTGGCCTTATTTAAATGCGAAATGAAAGCAGTGGTCCATTACGATCGTGGGCATTTTCATCTTCCTGCTAGCAAGGCTAACCGTTAAATTGTTGTCTAGAACAATCATTCTAACTATTCAGCGTTTCTGACTGATGGATAGTGAACACCTAAATTGAATCAAATTTTGATTCTTTTGGTGCCAACAAATCATTTAACGCCATGATTTCGCGTAGTCCTGGACTACGATGCAGGATTAAGCGTTGGTCTCGAGTGATATTTGAAGTTTAGGGCGATTTTCCAGCCAGAAGTTCTAAAATTGTAGCCGTTCTAACTGACATACATGAAATATGCAGTGTTTCCGCCAACTCACTTTTCCAAAAGCTTGCACCCAACTCCGCTACAACACCGCGACACCAGTGAACCTCTACAGTTTCACTGCAAGCCATAATTCTGAAATTCCCGCTACTATTTATTCTCTAGGCTAATCCCATCACTTCATCATCCCCAATTACAATTTCCGCGACCATGGCCACAAGCTAAACAGTCCAAGTCTTTGAAGCTCCATTGATTGTTTTAGTTCAAATAAACCGCCTGGATTATAATAACTCTGCTGCTATATTATATCCATCAGTCTTATTCCTTATTCCCTGCAGTTTGTAATTTTCTTGCCATTCATCAGGCATGCTGCCCTCATTCGTTTCGGTCTTACTCGCTACCTTTAAATTCCAGCGTCCCCACCTGAAAATGTTTGATCCTCTCTCTTTTCCGCGCAATCCCTTGTATCCACAATCCCCGGCAGTCCTGCTTTTTCTGACTGCAGCAACATAACCATGCCTGACGAAGTGCCATCAGTTGGAAATAAACTTTATTATTGTCAATACTGAATCAACGAAGCTGCCCTTCGTGAGCTGCGCTTATTCAAATTGTCATGAAAACGGATTGACCTAGCATGGGTTTGTGCCGGTTACACTACCGGTCTGAATAAAGCACCGAATAACTTCGAAAATTCTTTACTTTTGCTTGACGTTTATGTTAACATAAAAGCACTATGCAACCTTGTACACTTCAGAATTCTGTTTGCAGATTGAAATGTGAAATACACCAGATGCCTGGGAGTCAAGACGCATTGTGCCATATTCTGGATCATGCAAGTCTTTCTCAATGTGGACTGTGCCGTCAAGAATTTAGGAATCGTGAACACTACTGCGTAATATGCACGTGATTGCCATAAATGATGACCGATTCATTATTCGAACGATTATTGGGGGCCTTGTTTCTTCCCTCGAGTATCCACTAGGCAGAATATTCATGGTGTTCGGAGCAGCCACCAGCAAAGATTTAATTTTGGGAAGAGTAGCGAATGGGATGAGATCGCTGAAGTCTGGTGTGTAGAGGTGTAGAGATTAAATGGCATGTAGTTCAGTAATAGAGTCCAAGTCAAACTTCATTAGCTAGGAGCGGACCGATAATTTTTGAATAGGCCAGGATGGCAAAGGATTTTGGGCCAAGTAACTCAGAAAACGAGGACCGGCGAATCCTGTCAATGTATTGCTAATATGGTACAACAGGCACGGAACAAACCTGAATGGGTTTTTTAATTGGCAATTATGAGCTTACTCCAACAGCTGTGCAAGAGGCTAGTGTTGGCAATGAATCTGTGTCTTGTATTTTCAGTAATCAACGTCAGTCGGCTAGCAGGCACGAGGTGAGTGTGCAAAAATGTCTGGCAGAGCAAGTTGCAGACGAGGGGAAACGACCAAGGGTTATAGGCGCTGACCAATTTGGTGGGGACAAATGCGAGGTGAGCTTGAAAGTGAGCAGCCTTAAAGTCTGGCTCCGTGAAAGTCCTGTCAGATGGGCTCCGTTGCGCGGAAAGATGGCGTTAGCAGGGGCAACAAACACATGAAGAATCATTGGAATAAAACTCTCAGAGTGATGGACAACGATAAGTGTAGCTAGAATTTGCTGGATGGACTGAAACCTGCCATAAGTTTTGTGGGAAATTGAATGTATGCATCGCCATTCTTGGAATATCTGCTTCCAGCCCCGCCCATAACGCTAGTTTTGCTTTCTAGTATTGTTCAAAATACACAAAGGTGCGCGGGTTTAACTTTGGCTGGCGAAGTGAACTTGACGTGGTGTAACCTCAACTAGGAAGCTGAAAATATCTCTGCACATCAGCGCGAGCCCTGTGCCATTTAGGCTGCTCCATATATCTTCACCGCCCAACAAAATAGCAGTTTACCCCCACCTGTAACTCATAACGTTGTTAGATTGGTGGCACATTCGGAACGAGCACGAAAAAGCAGCAGAAAATACAAAACAAGGGTGCAATTTTATGGAGTTCCTAAACCAAATGTGGGGCTTAGAACCATTGACCATCAGGTGAGAGCCCGCACTACTGGAAGGTTGGGTGGCTTAACAAACGCAGCTTGCTACAACGCAACAGTTGACCCTCTCTTTAGGGTGAACTCGCACACCGCACGAGGTTTCAATCAATCATGCACATTTCAAGATGCCAAGCCACCAAGCGGTCATAATGGCGTTTTTGTGCTTACAATGACCTTTAGCCTCTAGATATTTTATCCTGTTGGAGAGAAAGGTAGGCCGGTTAAACAGCCCAGTCGATTTGAGCGAGGAAACCTGCAAACCGCTGCTAAAATAGGTGAGTCGTGGAGGAGGAAGATGAAATAGAAATACCGTTGGCGAAAAGGAGCAGAATGGGAATATTTGGCTTGTGTAAATGGTAACCAAAGGACGACAGAGAGTTTGTTTGGGATTCTAAGTCAAGTAGAGACACGAAACTTTGTTTTGTGTGCATGTTTAACGGGCTGTGGCTTTATGTTATAGTTTTGATCACTTCACTTTGGCAGACCGACTATTTTTAGGGACGTGTCACGTACTATCACTAACGAAATGCTACTCTGGTATGAATAACGCTAGTTAGAATTAGGAACCAACCATTAGCAGAGCTGACGGAATAATCTAGGACAGTGACCTAGCGAGAAAGATGGGGCTCAGGTCTTCAGAAGGATAAAGCCAGGTCAACAATGCAGTAGGATCAAATAAAGCAGGTATTCAACAGGCAACCAATTTTTGAGGCCAACAGGCGAGAGGACATGATATGATTGCGGAATCGTTTCATTTTTACCCACTCAGTGTATCTTCAGTAACCTCAAATGTGCTTTGATTCCGATTCGTGAAGGAGATTGGCGGGCCATTAAACATCACGTAGGGTGGCAGCGGGCATACCAGTAAAGAGCTGAGAGGAAAGTATGATGTATGCCGTTTAAAAGCTGTTCAGTTAGACGATCCTATATGCGCGTGTGATAAACTGAAAAAATTAGTGGCGTAGCTTATCACGAGTTGGAGGGCACACTAAGGTGTTGCAAGATTTACGGAATCACTATCAGGGACGGGAGTTCACGTTTGGCCCAATCTTCGATATAAAAGGGTTTTGGTGCAACAGAATATGTCGGAGAGTTGTACTTTAACTTGACCGTTCGAGCAACAGTGGTTCAAGGTCACGATTTTGAAACTAGTTTTGGTGCAACAGAATATGTCGGAGAGTTGTACTTTAACTTGACCGTTCGAGCAACAGTGGTTCAAGGTCACGATTTATGCAACTAGTGTTTGCGAGGGGGCTGGATTTTATGGAAAACATTTTGGTGAGTGAGCACTGGAACTATTCAACTGCCGGTCTGAAACTTCGGGTATATATGGAAGAGAATGCAGGACAGAATTATCTTGTCGGTAGCGGGCACTGCCCAACCATTGCAATTTTTTGCCCAGAGGATGAAAGCAATAATGTTAGAGAGCGAAGCATGTTCACTCGGGCGTTCTGAAAGTGGACCCGCTGGGGATAGCTAAAGACAATAGAGTGCCTTCAGTTTTACTTGAGTCAATCATGAGTCTGTACTAACGGTGAGCACGTCGCCTTTGAAGATGGAGCGGGAGAAAGCTATTTATGACTCAGGGGAAACGAAGGGGCATTTGACCAGAAATTTAGAGAGCCCAAGTCCTGTTCGATCTGGTAAAAGGCAAGATTCCATCAGGAACAATAAATGTGCAGAGGGTATATTACCTACAAAGAGGAAGGATTCGCGCTGGGATGCCGCAACGAAGACCCTATTGATATAGAGTGAGAAGAGGAGGAGACCTATCACGCTCCATTCAACGGCTCCACCAGTGATCAGTGGCGGATACAGCTGTCTGTTGCAAATTTATACTGTTTGTTCTGTCAAAGTAAAAGGAGATAAAACATTGAAATAGGGATTTAGTCTTTCCAACAGATTGCGCTTTTGTAGCAAATATGTATGAGTTACCTGGTCAAAAGCTTTTTGAATATCCAGGTGGACTGTTGCAGTTGAGTACGTGGCACCGCAGACAATTGCGACTGTCATAAAAAGTTTTTCTGGCAACCTCAGGCAGATCTCCAATCAGAAAACTACTGCCGACCGTCTGTTGCATTTGCACCCGGAAGGAATGGTGCTTACGGGACTTTGGCCAGACGGTGAAGGGTTCTGATTAAAAGACGGATATGATACGTCTCTTTAGGTGGAAGTAACTCGTTCAGAAGAGGATTTCAAATGCAAGCGAACAATGGACTATCTCTACTTAGATGAGACGGTTTTAGAGTTGAGTGAGCGGGTAAAAGGATTGAAAACAAGGATTTTGACGTCTTGTTCACCATATCTCAGGACCTGGAATGGAAGTCCATCCGCCGCCGGCACAACGCTGTTATTGAGGTTTTCGGAAAGGAACGGAAGCATAGGAAGGGTGAGTTACTTTAAAAAACGACGGGCGGCTAATCTGACCGTTAGAAGCTGTGGGATGTAAGCCATAGATTATGGGCTCGACTTGAGGGACGGGCAAGTAGCAACTGGCGGAATAAACGTTCAGTTAGGTTTCACTAAGGGAATCGGTGGCTGGATTAAAATCGTTGGGCGGGGGAAAGTAACTGAGTGACTATTTGGGCTACAGTGCCCAACAAATAGGAAGCTTAATAAACTATAGTGAGAAGGAGCCGCGAGAGCAATCCTCGCCTCGCGGTATTTAAGAGGTACTCACAAAGAATCTCGATCAGTTGAGAGCCCATTGATGGGAAGCTCTAATGCAAAGCCATGAGACTACTCATATTCTATGGTATTTAGTGAATTTTGGTATTCGAGTTTCTATTAACTAACGTGAAATTTTTTGTGGAAGAAAAGAAACAAAGAGAAGTCAGCTGGTTGTAGTAGGCGTAAAACTTGTGATAAGTGTTGGTCAAAGGAAAGAGGTTGCTCCAGTGCCACTAATCCAGCAAGAAATGAGAAATCAACAAGCAATAAAGAAGCCAGCAAAAGACCTGAAGAAGAGAGATGAGGGACGGAAGGACCAGGGAGGTTCAACTTGGAGACATTTGACCGAATTGAAAGAAGCATTTGAATGAGCACTTGCAAGGAATTGTGGGCCAACTGCAGCTGCAACCAAAAGACCCTGTATATATTATGCATATTATCCCATTTTATATCCCCTCAAACTCAATGTTTTGCGAATCTCCTCCCACTCCCTCACCGTCTCAAGCTTTGAACTTCGGAAGTGCCCCTTTTGGACGACCTGGTTAGCTGATATCCACCCCACCTGGCCTATGATCCACAACTTCGGGATAGCCAAGCGGACCAAGAAAACCTACAATCCCGTACCGGCCTTGTTTCAGCTTGTTTCCTCCACCAGGCTGAAATGAATGCCGCTGCCAAATGAGCTGCACTCCCCAGCCGAATAATCTCAAATGTGGCGTCCGTCACCGGGCTATCCAGAAATTGAAACATGTCAGGCCAGTGATGGCACGGCACTGACATACTCAGTTTGATAGCACACCCGCAACCGTTCCATCCTTCCTCCCAACCGAGCCCTCTTGTCTAATCTTTCCATCGATTGCAAGTAGGACAGACTCCCCAGCTGACCCTATTTGTATCCATGACATTCATTCCAACGTGTTGGACTACTCTTTTGAATTCGGCCACCTATGGATCCGCATCCAACAAAACCCCTGCACCTGACTTCCCTAGAACAGTGCAACAAGTGAGTCTGCTTGTTCTAAGATTGCACCATATTTTAGGGACTCAGCTGGTCATTTTCTACTAATTCGAATTATCCATACTCAACCTCCACTTTTGCTCGTTGTGAATCCGGCCGTTTACCCAATCGATCAAGGTCAATCATCGCCAGCAATTGTTTTCAGTTTTAGTTCATGTCGGCCGGCTGAGTCATTGCATTAGTCGGACCTTGTTGATTCCCCCTGTGAATCAACAATGAACAAGGGTAACTTTCATTGTTTCCTGACTACTCATGAGTAACATGACTTACACCTGTTTATTATGGCACCGTTTCGCTTCCTTGCTGCTTGTTTTCCCCCCTGCGCTGTTGCGGCCAACTCACACTGTCAAACTGGTTCCTACTTAAGGTATGTTTATCCCTCAGTAATTGATGTCAATATTTTGTTGCCCGTCTGTCAAAGCCTGCAAGTTCGTCTCTATTGCACCTATCTTCGAGCGCCCACTCCGATGGAAAATCGGCCGACCGGGTATCGAACCCGGATCATTCAGGCGGCAGGCAAAAGCGCTACCCGTGTATCACCTCTGTCAGATGGCCCTTGCTGAGCTTTGTTTTAAACGGACGAAACCGCGCAATCTGACCTGTCACGCGACACGAGCGGCTGCGTCGACGCCAACCGAAATACGGTCCCTCACATCCCGAACATACTTACTCCTGCGCTGTTGCGGCCAACTCACACTGTCAAACTGATGTTTTTACATCGTTTGGTACTTACTTGTTGTTGCCCCTATAGAAATCCGTGCTGCGTCGGTGACGATTTCCCGCTCCTGCTGATTGAGTCATTGTTGATTGTACGTTTGCTTAATCCATGATGCCTACTTATCCGTTTGTCTGTAGAACCAGTTCCTGTCACTCCTCAGTATATCATCTGCTGCCCCATGTCTGTCTGCTCCTATTGACTACTGGCTACGAACTGCGTATAATCAAATAGCCGCAGTCGACCTGTGAGATCCATAACCGTCCGGATCTTACAGATCTCATGTCCATTGTTCCGAACAAGTTGCGGAAGAAACCTATTATTAGTATTATTTCATCGGATAATTCCCACTGTTTAAAAAATTGTCCTCTGTTCGCGCAATCCCCACTAGTCGCAAATCCCCCCGTCATGCCCCATTCAGACTGGAAACGCAGGATCATGCCAGGCGGTATGCCACCCAGAAGTTGAGGATAAAAATTGTTATTATGAACACAATCCAGAAACGCCTCTCCACACTGGGTCATTCAAGCAGCGAGGCGTGCGGGAAACGGCCTATGGTTGAAGAAAAAAGAGCGAAAAAAGAGAAGAGAGAAAATGAGGCAATGAGCTGGTGCTAGGAGAAGTATCGTTCAGCAAATACTGTAGCCTGGTATAGGCAAACAACTGATGTGCCTTTTTACACTCAAACGACCCATATTGGAAAATGTTATTTGAGTCTTTGGGATTCGTACACTAGGTAAGACACGGTTCCGTCAGAGTTAATACGATTGCCAAGATATGTAACATTCTTCACAACCTCCAGTGCTTCTCCTTGAATTGTACATTACACGTTCCGCAGAACGACTTTGCGCTTTGTTGGTGCACAGAGAATGCAGAAAGATGTTACGGTGATGTTCAATTCATTCGACAGCGTTTGTGCTTAGCCATCGGTTAAATGGGTTTTGAAAACCAGGGTTTCGAAAACCTTACGACGTTTGCTTGGCTATTTCATCTATGACGAAGTTGAACGAGAGGAAAGAGCGGACATCATTCCCAGATACCATTTTTATAGGGAGGCTTTTAGGGAGCTCACCATACACCCTTACATGCCCAATAGTAAGTAAACATTAGGAAAAGATTATGTTCAAAAAATTCTGAGTGGTCCTTTTTTGAGCAAGTGTAGTTAGGAGCACTGACCGACTAACAGAATCGAACGCACCTTTGAATTCACGGAACAGAACGACTATGGAATGTCTGTACATATGGCGTTGCTCTAACACATAACAATGTATGAAGATGTGGATGCCCCAGTTAGGTGGCTGAAATTGATTGGAATCGGTAAGTAGGAACAACCGCGAACGACTGCTTTAGCTGTGTTTCGACCAGACTTTTTATGCAGTAATAAGTTTGGACATAACGGAATTCTTCTAGCTTCATAG